TCCCTCTGAGCAAAACCAACCTCTAAACCAGCTATGTGGCATGGGCAGGTAGCCAAAGCTGTCTGTGCCTCAGTTTTATCGTCTTTAAAATGGGAGCATCAGATATGATTAGTGTTTGCTAAAGCATGGGACACATACCCACTGATGCAACGTGAGACTGTAAGCAGTCAGTAGATCTGGCCTTAGAAGGGATTGACTCTGGTCATGAGAATAGCTCTCCCTCCTTGGTTCTCTTCCATCCCTTCTCATTCCAACAGGGAGAAAGTCTCTGCCGGGAACTACATACCTCTAACACCTCTTCAGTACTTGCTAACCTTTTATAACAAAGACAGACAGCTATGTTTTGTTTTCATTGTACTTTTATTTTAATGGCTACCATCTGTTTATGGCACAGGATTCTCTAGTGTCTTTTTCTTTTTTTTTTTTTTTTTTTTGTCTTTTGTCTTTTTCCGTGTCCGGCAACGGATCGCAACCCTCAGTGTTGCCCCCGTACCGGACCCCGGACCGGGGACCGGCAACGGGATTGCAACCCTCGGGGCTGCTCCCGCGCCTCGCTCAGCCAGTGAGCGGGAACCGGTCTCTATGTGGGATCCGAACCCTCGGGCGGGAGTGCTGCCGCGCTTCCCAAGCGGCGCACTTATCCAGTGTGCCACCGGGCTGGCCCTCTAGTGTCTTTTTCAAATGCACTTATTTAGATTTTAAAAAGAGGGGAGTCATTATATAAAGGTCGAGAACAGGCAAAATTTATCTATGATATTAGGGTCAGATAAATGATTACTTTGGAGGGTACTGACTAGGAGGGGCACAAGGGAGCTTTCCGAGTTGCTAGAAACCTGAATATTCTATATCTTGATCTAGGTAGTGGTTATGTGGGTGTAAAAATTCATTGAGCTTAACATTGAACTTAAAGTTTATGCATATCTCAATCAAAAAGAAAACAATAGGAATCAATTTAAAGATAAATATTAAGTAAATATTTCAGGTGGTATATCAATATGGCACAATTCGCACAGAGGGATAGGTGAGGTCAAAGTTTGGACAGTGATGAACTGGGCAACCTTGGGGATTTCTTATGGCCCATACATTCTGAGACTCTGAGTGCCTTGGAGGTCTAAGTCTCAAGATTGCCCAGCAAGCTGATGGCACACCCTCTTGGAGCTAGGGCCGCTTGCTGGGCAACGGGGGCTACAGTCCCATCAGCAGATCCCGTTCTTCCAGCCCTAGCTTCTTCCTGCGGCGCCTGGTCTTGGGTGCGGCTTAGTCCCAGCTTCCTTTCACTCTGCACATTGGCCCGAGCCTCAGCTGCATCTATCATCTGCTTCAAGCTCATTAAAATTATTTCTTTTTAGTTGCAAATGGGCTGTTTATGATGATCATTATTTGAATGGTCTGCACCGGGCTCCGGGCTGTCTGTCTGCTGCTGATGGCCAGTTAATCAGATGTCTCCTCCCTGCTTGGGCCTGGCCCAAAGTCTGGGGCTGTGTTAATCATGGCTCCCTTAGGAATGGGGGCTGGGGGCCAGGGTGGGAGAGGATCCCGATTTCTGCTTGATTAGCAAATGAGAAGCCAGGCTAGCTGTGTGGTAGTTTGAACACACATTTCTAAAACTCCACTTCAGACCATGGCTGATTTATGTTTATGACAGATTTTTTTCTGTTCTTTCAAAATAAATATAGTGCTATGAGCTTTTTATTTTAAGTGCATTTATTTTAAAAGACCTTTGTCAATTCTGTCCTTGGCCCGCTTGCTTTGTTGATGTTTAAATACCCTTTCTTTTAGGGTGGGACGGAATGGTTTTTAATGTCTTCACATGATACAGTAAAGCTTAGCAATACTCTGTCAGTCTTCCTTTTTTTTTTTAAGTAAAATTTTTTCTAACGTGTGAAATCCAGAATTCTTGGAATTGTTGATCTAGAGGGGTGTTTTCTGAACTCTCACTTTATCTAAATATAAGATTAATATCAGCCAATGTTTATTGAGCACTTGGTACCATGCTTGACACTTTACACATTCACATCATTTAAATCAAGCTCTCTAAACACCCCCTGGCTAATGGGAAAGTGGAGCAGAAGCCCGCTGAAGAGCAGGGCATTAAAATTTTGCCTTTATAATCCACCAAGGAGATAATCCACACCTCAATTACTAGAATTGACTGTAATTTATTTCCTCATCTCTGCTTGAATCACCTTACAGACGCATTAATGTTTGTTACATGAGGTGATGTATGTTAGGAGGTTAGCATAGTGCCTGGTGCATGTAAGCACTTGATAAATGGTAGTTATGATTACTATTATTTACTATTATTATTATTATTATTATTATTATTATTATTATTGTTGTTAGTGTGTTCCCCATAGAAGCGTGGCAAGAGTTCAGGGTTGAAAGATGAACATCAATTTAGGCAAAGTTGAGAGGAACGTGGACATCATGTCTGACAGAGTCTGCTCCTCAAGCATTGAGCAGCAGGGACACCAAGAGCTGGGCTTGCAGTGGGGCCAGGGCTGGGAACCTGCTGATATCCCCCTGCTTTGCCTGGCTCTGATGTCTCTGCAGTGTGGATGCAGCAGACATCCTGCCTGTCAGATTTGCACCTGCCAATGACTTGGGAGGTGCCGGTGGAGGAAGCCAGGCATAATTGTCTGGTATGATACATGAAGCAGTTGGACTTCTGCTCTGAGATTTCCTTTCAGAGCCTGGACTGGATGTTTTTAATAAGGAGTCGAAGTCCACCCTGCCCCCCTACCGAGGTATATTGGTTGCTGTGGTGGGGGGAGGTACAGTGTCCTGAGATAAGAACATAGTGTCAGACACACGATAATCCAAAACCGAGTGATGCAAACCCAAGTTCCCATTCTGTCTGTCCTGCAGCAATGTAAAAATCACATCTTTGTCTTCAAGAGAGATGAGAAAAACCAAGAAAAACTGTGAGCACTCTACTACAACTCAGATTGACCATGGCTTTCCCATTCTTTCTCTCCTGCCAAGTGAGATTCTGTCCACCTGGCTGCACCAACTGGTTGATTTTTGTCTGTTGCTGCAAACACCAATCTCTCCACAGTCACTCAATATTTTGGTTGTGATCAGTTGTGTTTTCTTTATTGGAAACTGCAATTAGTTTTAATTGATGATAAACCAGAAGTTTCCCTTTTTTCTTCTGTCACTTTGGTGACCTGTCAGAAATGGTTTCTGTTTCTATCTCTCCTCTACTCTCCTGTGACACTTTGCTCTTCACCTGCCTCAAAATGACATGGGGTGTTTGGACTGGAATCCGCACTTCCAAGTCAGCATACCCTGTGCTGCGGCATAGAATTGATTTGGTTTCAGCACCTTGGAGAGCAATCCAGGTCCGGTTTCCTCACCTCTACTTAAATAGCTTTTATGCCTCCACCCTCTCCCTCTAATTTCAGGATTCTACGAAGAGGTCAGACATTTCTCCAAAAATAGAAATTCCCTCCCTGATTTCTCCAAAAGGTTCCATAGGCCAGAGACACTTGTCCCAGGTTTGGGGTACAAGGTTTATTGTGCTATGGTGAACTGCTGCTGAGCAGATTTACCGACTCTCAGTCATGATATAAGACAATTACCATGCATTTTGTCTCTTAGAGGGAAAAGGATTTGCAGCGGGTTAATAGTACTTTTATTTCATTATCTAATGGTAAAAGTGTTTCATTGTGTGTGCAAGATGAATGTGTATTAGCGATGACAAATGGGGTCTTTCAACACGGTGCTGGGCCTCATCATACATATGTTAGATTAAAGAGTTCACCCTAAAAATACACTCCCGCATCTGTGTGCATGTTTTTAATAAATCTGATTGCAGAAATTTATTGTATCGCTGTATTTAGGAAATTATGGGGCTTGATTGCTGCAAATATAATCGGGTGATATATACAGAAATGCTCCTCAAGTTATGGTCCAGAAAAAAAGCCCATCTCAGGATGATGTGAGAAAGCAACAGACCACATAAACAGCATTTCTTGAATTATGCAAATGAAGTCCATGACAACTCATGGTGATTTGTACTCCCCTTGTGAAACTGCCACCATTAAAGTGAAGAAAGCTTCGAGAGGGGTGATCGAATATACATGTAGGACCAGCAGATATTGTCTGTGATGTTTGTGAGCTAAAACATCCTCCCTGCCATCCTTCCCTGTTTTTTCCCTCACTGGTACGTCCTGTAAAATGCTGGTCTGATGCCTTCATTGCACACAAGCAGACAAGGTGCCTTCCAGTCCATTTCTTCTAAGTCATACTCTTCAGTGAAATATTTCTTATTCTTGAACCTTAAGTGATTTACTGCAGGAAACACAAAAGGTCAGCTCGCTTCTTATTGGCACCTTCATTTTTCCAAAATCTACTGAAATTAAAAAGCCATCTATATCTTAAAAGGCATATTTATGAACCTTTAAGTGTAAGTAAGTCATAGTTGGAGCAGTTCCCATCTCTGATATATGAAAGCTGTCGACAGCACTTTCTTGCACTATAATATGCCCATACAATATGCCGCACTTTACTATTTTGACACGGTTTGGAGATGTTTTCTACAGTTACTGACAAGCTTATGCCATCACTCCTTTGGAAATTTAAGAGGTGGGGCAGAGGGGTGGGGAAGAGATGGAAAAAAAAAACCAACTCCACCCAACTTTATGGGAGATTATTGATCTGGCCAGACTTCCAATGAGCAGAAAAGCTGTCCTGGATTTTTTTCAGTTGCATCCCCAGTTTCGTAAATTATTCATTTGTGCCAGGAGTCAATATCCTGTCTTTTCTCAGCTTTGTAAGTTAAGAAAACTTGTTCACAATGCTGTTTTGTACAATGATTAAAAAGGAAAAAAAGGAAAAAATCGTATTCTTTTTCTCTCTCTCTCTTTTTTTTTTTATTATTCCAGAAGGAGCTTAATTCCGTCGCTTCCGAGCTGTCTGCACGGCAGGAGGAGAGTGAACAGAGGAAAAAATCTTATTCTTTTTCTCTCTCTCTCTTTTTTTTTTTATTGTTCCAGAAGGAGCTTAATTCCGTCGCTTCCGAGCTGTCTGCACGGCAGGAGGAGAGTGAACATTCTCATAAACATTTAATTGAACTCCGCCGGGAATTTAAGAAAAATGTACCTGAGGTATAGTATATTTGCTATTATAGAATTAACTCAGTAGGAATGCAGATTTTTCTCTGTTCAAACTATATTTTGAAAACTGTAGACATAAGTGACTAACAAGAAAAGAAGCTAATTAGCCACAAAGAAAAATTACAGCCTCCGACCTTTCAGTGTTTCTTGGTATAGTGGTGCTCAGCAGGGCTGTCTAAAGTAAAGGCAGAAAGCTTCTCCATTAGTGTCATTGTTTTTGAGGTCTCTGCAAAACATCCATTTTTCCCCCCACATTCATATCTAAGTCAAATGCTTGGCCTTGATGGCAAAGACAATTTGTCTAGATTTTATTTGATTTTATTTTGCTTTTCCATTGGCATCTGGATGATGGCAGCTATAGACTCTTACCACCCTTTCCAGGCCTTCTCTTGCTCACCTCTAAAACTCTCCCTCCCACCCCCTATATATGCACCTCATTCTTCCCCCTCACCTCCTCCCTTGCAGTTCTAGCAATCAGCTTTGTCTTTCCCAGCTGCCTTGGGGGTGGCCCAGAAAATGACCAGCCCCAGCAATGGAAGGGCCCCCCAGAGGAAGAGACTAGAGCAGACATGCTTCTGTTCTTTACAGGAGTGAATGTGTGAATTCTTTTCCCTCTTCTATCATGCCCCCCTGTTGCTTCTCAAATTTAAAAAGAAAAAAAAATGGGATAAACACAAATAGGAAAAATAAAGCCCTCTGACTCTATATCACATTGGCAGAGATGTGGCGCATAAGCGCTATTATGCGAAACAGACATCAGGGGTCTCTAAGGCCAGACCTCCCTCAAAGCCAGCTGTGTTTCCTTCTGGTCATCCAAAGGTTAACACGTGAGCACTCTGGACCTACCTGCTCTGGTGTACTGGAATCCTGGAGGAGGGTGGGGCAGAGTTGGGCGTTCAGATGGGAGACATTGATTCTGCCAGTCTGAATCACTGGGGGCTCCTGCTGCTGTCTTGCTGTTGGAGGAGGGGGCTGTAGAAAGATGGAGAAGAGGCAGGCTCCGCCAGGAATCAGGCCACATGAGCACAGAGGAGTTGAGCCTTCAAGTCACCCTTAGTCTCTTAGCTGCCGAATCCTTCTCACACAAGTCATAACTATCTTTTGTTCTTCAAGGCAAGAGAGGGGACTGGGATCTGTCTAGAACTCATCCACAGAGCACATCTTGAAGGAATCTTAGGTTTGAGGCCTTAGAAAGAGTGTGCATGGAAAAGAGGCATGAATCTCAGATCTGAGAGTGTCTCCCGTGTTGTGGCTTCAGAAAGGCCAAGTCAGGTCTTTGGTTTGGCTCCACCAGCTGAGAAGCCATAGGTGATGCAAAGGATCCCTCCCTTACCTTTTAGAACAGAGCACAGCTTGGTCTTTAAACTCATTTTTCTCCCCAGAATGAGAGAGACTCTCATCCTCTGATTTTCCTTTGCCTCTGACTCTCCAGTCTCTGGGAAGCAGAGCTGAATCGGCCGCAGGTCTTCACATCCCTACATGCCCCCTCTCTCTCTGCTCAGCTTAGACTCTCCATGTCATTCTCCTTCCCCTCCACAGCAAACTTACTCCCCAGGCCACGTGGGAGCCCCCAGGTAATGAGGGAAATCCAGGCCAGGTTTTAAGCCTCTGAGTTCAGCTTACATAATTTTAATACTGCATAATTATGCAATTATGTAATTAGGAGGAATAAGTTTCCATTCCTATTATAGTTGTGCCTCTGAAAATTCTCATTTTTGGAACTAGTCTCTCCTGATGTAGAGAGGCATGCCAGGACTTTATTTAAGTGAATCGTCAGGCGACTGCACAACTCACCTGCTGCTCGTGCCTTTGCTCGGCTTCTCTAGCAGTTAAGCAGACAGAGCAAGGGGCTTCTAGGAATGGTTGGCATTGGCCCAAAGCGCCCCCCATCCTCCCTAATGCCTCTGAGATTTGAATCCCCTAAATTCTTTTGAGGGTGGGGTTGTGAAAAGAGCCTGTTTGGTGACCTGGGTTTAAATTCCAGCTGTACCACTCACTGGCTGTGTGACCTTGAGCAGGCCAGCCCCTCTCCCTGCTCAAGGGAGACTGAGGCCTCAGTCTCCCCTTCTGTAAATTCAAGAGACTGGATAGATGGTTTCTGAGGCGACTCCTGGTACTAACATTTCCTAAACCTAGGCCATAGGTCCCTTGCCAGTGTATTTTTATTTGATGTAAATTCTTTCAGACTTTACAATAAGTTGCCAACATTTAGTATTTTAGAAGATTTCACCTAAACATCAGATTATTGGTATCTTTTGAGACCATTTGGTTGATCTTGCAACTCAGAGGCTCCATGCCCATCAGTTGCAGTCATCAGCTGGAGCTGAGCAGTGGCTGGTCCTGTTAGACCAGGCATGTGTTGTCCCAGCCTGCCTCCCTCACGTCCACTTCTTGCCTCCCTCATGTCCAGTTCCTGCCTGGCCTCGGTGAGCATTTGGGTTCACAACCTGTGACCTCGATTCTCATAAGTTTCCTTTTCCATCGCTCAGCCCACACACCTGTGCCTCCTTGTGGTCAAATCCACTAGGTTCCTATGCACTGCCAGTATCCTTCCTGAGATCCCCAACATACATCAGCTGAGAAGCTCTGGGGCACAGAAATCAGTGAGGAGGGGACCCAGGGCCCAGAAGAGGGATCTTTTCCAGGGGCAGAAGCAACACAACCTTATTTTCATAATTAAGGGGTTTATTCTTTACCTGAACATGCGTATCCTGCCCATCTCTTTCTTTTCAGCTTCTCTCTGTTGCCCCTCTCTCCCCACCTTCTCTAACCCCCTCACTTCTTCCCATGGGGATTTTTTGTGGTAGTAGCTGATTGGGATTTGGGAGAGTCACCACTGGATCTGAGGAAATTGGAGGACTTAAGAGTTGGGATCATGAGACATGTGATTCTAACAGCCTTCCCTCTTGTATACTGGGGAGAACTCACAGGCATCCACCCGAGAACTCTTGGGGCTGGGAACCTCAAGGTCACTTAGGAAAGTCAGGAAATTAGGGTCTAGAAATAGGAGACTTGGGGTGACCAGGACAAACCTCCCCTCTGAAGACAGCCCACTTTCATAGAGTTCATCAAATACTTGCAGAACCCTTCCTCTGAGCCATGCACCACTGGAAGGGTGGGGGCACCAGGTAGGATCCAGCCAAGTCCCCAGAAACTGCACATTGTGGTGAAGAAGGAGAAACAGGTGCAGAAGTGGTGTTGCTAAAATGCAAAATGCAGTCTTTGCTGGAGTGGTGGCAACTGGGTGGGATAGCAAAGACAGCAGCTTGATGGAGGCTTCCCCTGAGTAACACCTGGAAGGACAGAAAGTTTTAATGAAGGGACTTTGATGACTTAGCACTGAGTGTAGAGAATTGGGGCCACCTCTCCAGTCCCCATTCCAAAGAGTGTCCCATGATGGACCACCAGTTCCACAAGATACTTTGCTTAAAAGAACATTCCATGACTGAATCCATTTAGGAAATGCCACTTCCTCTCTCCCTCTTCCAGAAACACTCAAAGTGCATTACATTAAAGGCTCTGAAAAGTCCTGCAGGAAAGAAGCCTCTTGGACTTGATGTTTTCCAGTGTGATTTGGCTTGGCGCCCCTGTGTGTGTATGTCTTTGTGTCTGTGTGTGCAACCCTTGTGAAATCCCCTGGAGTACACATCCCATGGGACATGCTTGGGAAACACTGACCCCAGGGACAACAGTGAGCTGCAAGCAGGGGCCGGGGGGTGTCCCACCTGGCACTATGGTGAACTCTTCACTGATCTCTTTTTCAGGAAATCAGAGAGATGGTGGCTCCTGTATTAAAAAGCTTCCAAGCTGAGGTAAGACCCAAGGCCCACAGCATGTCAGAAAATTACACCCAGCTCCCCCTCCTGTCCCACCTAGAGTTGCCAGAGTAGGCCAGCCGCCTCTGGAAGCTTGCAGAAGCTTCCCTGCCCCCATTGCAAACTCTGTCCCGTTCCGTCTAGTCTATAAGAATGGGTTCTCTGTTCTGTTAGATGGGATTCCAGAGTCTGATCCCGAAAAATCTTCCTCTCCCTAGACTTTGCTCTGCTACATGTAAGATCTTGAACAAACCGCCTTATCTTCCAAGCTTGGTTTCCCATTTTTAAAATTGGAGGTTTGTACTAGGTGACCTTTGTTCTCCCTTGGCATTCCACTCTGCTTTGATTCTCTAAGGCAGCCTTGCAGGTAAGTCCAGACAATTACCAGCCCACTCAGAAATCCTTTCTACCATCCCACCCTTTGAGTATAAGATCACCATTGTTCACATTCTTTCCTGCCAACCCATCAGGCCCTCATTCCTTTGGCAGCAGCTGAGCTGTCCTCAGCAAATTGTCTCTCTTGCCTTTCTGGAGCCCTGGGATGGGGTCACACCTCCCCATCTCTCCTCTTTGCTTGACTTTGTGACCAGGATTCTGAGAATGTCCACTTGTCTGGTTGGTGTAGGAGGTAGGCTAGGAAAAGACTGGAATCACACTGAGTCAGACTGGTGGGGGAGCCATTTCTAAAATGTTCCATCTTGAGGGGGCTCTTCTCGGGCTTCCCTGGACTCAGGTAGGAACCCAGAAAGAGTGGCGCTTCTCAGAGCTCACCAGTGGGGATGCATTTTAAGTCTCTTGTCTGCCATGTGCCATGTTACTTGAAGTCTGTCTCTTTGGAACCACTTAAGTGCATAAGGCAATATTAAAGTAAATAATAACTGGATTTACACAAATGTCACTGATTTCCGTATTTTTCATCCTTTCATTTTATTACCAGGTTGACTGATGTGCTTATTTATTTATAGCGCCATCCGGTATTGATTCATTTGATTGTGAGGTGCTTGGGCTGGGGGGGGGGGGGAGAGGGCCAATAATATTGGGAATGTGTTTTCATGACTTTGTGTTTTTTTTAAAAAAAGAGGTTCCCATCTCCCAACTGCTGGTCCCATGAGGTACGCTCAGCACACAGGCTCTCTCAGGCAGCCGATCGTTCTGCCCAACCCAAAACAGGCCTCGAGCTGTTTTGTAGAGTGTGTCACTTTCTTGGCTATTCCCTTGCTTGGGTTGGTGTGAATAGAGCTTCTCTTGGCCTTTTAGTTGTTTTGAGGATTAACTGAGATATAACACAGGAAAGGGTTTCATGTAATGTCTGGCATACAGAAAGCTGCTAGAGAGTGAAGAAAGAGCACATATCCTGGAGCCAGCCCGGGTCTGAGTTCCGCCTCTGCCAGTTATTAGGCAAGTTACTCAACCTCTCTGTGCCTCCATTTACTCATCTGCAAAATGGATAATAATTATACCTACTTCATAGGGTTGTGACTGAGGAAGAACAAAGTTAATACCAAGAAGTGCTTAAAAGACTGCCTTGCATATTAGAAGTCTCAGGTATTTTATTATTCCTGTTATCAGTGACCTCCATTGGTTTATTTGGCCTGTACTGTGGCTGGGCTGGAATCTGCCTCTTTCCTAACTAGGTATTCAGGGCTTTTTATGCAAAAGAAGGGGGCTTTCTGTCCCTGTAGGAAGCAAGCATGACTTAGGTCATCTTTTCAGTAGCTGGTGGAAAGCACATGCAAATCAGACTCAGACAGGCCTGGTTTGAATCTCAGCCCTGCTTCTTAAACTAGCTGTGTGGCCTGGGGGAAGTTTCTTAACCTCTCTGAACTTCAGCTTTCTTCCTCTGGCAAATGAGGCTAAAAGAGTCCATGCAGTATCTGGCACACAGCTGGTGCTCAGTAGTGGGACAGAGAAAGTCTTAGTGGGCTGAAAGAGAAGACAAAGCTGAATTCTCATTTCCAAAACCCATGTAGCATGTTCAATAGACACTGTTTTAATAGCTTGGGATCTTCAAAGAACTTCGTTAATTTTCTTAAGAGGGCCCTTTAATGTACCAAAAAGACTACATACGTCTGGAATTTTATTCCTGAAACTCCTGCTTTCCTCATGATCTATTGACTAAACCATTGCAGCTGCTGTGTCCCTCCCTGCGCCTTGGGGGAGAAACACCACTAAAGAAAGGTGTTAATAAAAAGCATCTTCTTCTTCCACAACAAGCTGCACACACGCAGGCCATTTATAATCCAAATTTGATTTTCATTTTAATTTTTTTAATGAGGGCTCATCCGTTATGCCTCTTCCCTCTTGCAATCCACCAGGCTCGGGGCTGAAGCTGGGGATTCCCAAGGGGGCATTAATCACCTCCTGGAAATATTCCCTGGGGCAAACACTGTCCCAAGTCACATAAACTAGCCCATAAAACGCGAGGGCTGAATATCACACCCGTCATCCCTCCTTCCCTAGTGCGGGCCTCTCGTTGAAATATACGACATTCAAGTTTATTCTTGAATTTAACTCCACTGGTCTTGGTATATGCAGAATCTAGGCATCTTATCTTTTCATAGTACCTATGTGTGGGTCTTTTTTTTTGTGTGTGTGTGTGCCAGTGGGAGGGGGGTGGAGAGGAAATGAATTTGCCCCGCTGTGAATCAAGGAAGCTTCTCCCTCTGCCTTGATTGCTTAAAGGACAGTTTTGATTTCCCCTGTTCAGTGAAACAAAGACAGCCAGAGAAGGTGGCTTAATGGAGACAGCTTGAAATGGCCAAAGTTTGAATATCCTTGCACACAGAGAAAAGAGCAAGACGAAAGCCCCGCTAATTACAAAAGTTGCTTTATGAAAGATAATTCAAAGCAATAATTTAGCAAACATAATCAAGTCGCACAGATGGGGTTGTTGATGGATGGATTGCAACATGCAATTAGCAGTTCTCGCAGTTACATATCATTAACCCTCTGAGCACAAAAATTATTTTCTCATTATTAGTTGAAAAGGTAAAATTAAGCTGACTAGACAGTAAAGGAACAAACTACAATTAATTACCTTCATTTATTACAGTCATTATTTTAAACTTATTTTTACTTGGAGAGAGACATGAAAACATCTAAATTAAAAGTTTTGTTATGCTAAATCAGAGGTGAAACTTTTCTAAGGAGCATGTGCACTGGCCCATCTAGGAAGACAGCAGGGCCGCTGTTAGACTTTCTTTTTTCTGCTTCCTTGTTCCTCCACCTTGAAGGGAATGTGGCCTGTGTGATGGAAAACTCTTTTGCTTGTATTGGAGCAGATATGTTCATCTGGGCCCAATTGCAACACAGCAGTTTGGAAACCAAGGGGGCTGACATGACCTCTGACATCCAGCAGAAGCAGGGAATTGTGGTAGTCACACACCCACGGACCGAGTCCCACCCTAACACTGACAAGCTTGTATGACCTTGGCAAGTGACTTTGTGTCTCTGAGCCACTGTTTCCTCATCTGTAAATAGAAGCAGCTCATAGGATTTCCAGACTCAGTAAGATTGTGTGTGTCAAGTGGCCAGTGAGTCACTTGTCAACATAGCATATGTATGTGGTTGTATGGGGCTGAGAATGTTCTCCCTCTACCCTCCCAGGGTCTGAGGGATCTCTTGTGGCACGACCACCTTCAGTTGAGCCCATGCAATCATTTATTCATTCAACAAACATTTGCTGAATATGTACTGTATATCAGGCAGTGTTCTAGATGCTAGTCCAGTGAAGGTCACAACCTGTGGTCACCTTGACCCCTCCTGGCATGAGGGAGAACAAGTGTTTATACAATACTCAGAAGGACTTCCGAAAGGAAATGGAACTACCCTTCCACTTGGCACCATGCAGGTCCACTCAGCAAATACTTGTGGAGCATCTACTATACGCCAGGCTTCATGTGAGGGTTGTGGAGGGCCCAAAGATGGTGAGACACTGTCCCTGCCTGCAAGGAGTGTCCCTAGGAGTTGAGTCCCTATGATAGAAATAATGTCCAGGAATTATATCATGAGCCCAAGGGAGGCCTGTTGCTTTCCTCCCAGAGGTTCCACTTGTTTGCTGAACTTCACATTCATGCCCTGTCTCCATCATGACCACAGCAATATCTCCCACCCCGCACATGCCTGCATCATGTCCTTGCACTCCCCCATCAAGAGGTGGAGTCTGTGTCCACATGCTTTGAATCTGGGCCTGTGCCTACTTTGGCCAGTACAACATGGTGGAAATGACACTGGTGGTACTAATGCCCACCGTATCCCTTAGCCTACCTGGTGGCTCTGCTTCCTGCCTTTTCAAACCCAGCCCTCACATAACAAATGCAACTACCCTGAGACCACCCTGCTACGAAAAGTCTACCCCTCATGGAGAGGCCCTGGCTGATGAGACACTGTGGAGGAGAGGGCCGGGAGCACCAAGGCACTGACATGAGTCAAGGAGCTATGTTGGACCAGTCCAATTGAGCCATCAGATGACTGCAGCACCACCTGCCATCCAGCGGTGGCTGCCCGAGAGACAGCCAGAGACAACCGCTCGGCTGAGCCCTGTCAGCCCACAGAACCGTGAGAGATAATAAGTTGTTTTGAGCCACTGCATCTACACAGCAGTCGATGACCAGACCAGCCAGATGTATAGAGTGCCCCTCCTCTGCTCCCTCTCTCCTCTCCCCTCCTTGTTCTTCCACCTTCTCTTCCCTCTTCTTCCCTACTCCCTGGCTTCTCAACCTCAGCCTTATGGCAGATCTTAGCCTTGTCAAAGATTTTCTACCAGTGCCAAATTCCTAGGCCTCTGTCTCTATGCAGAGTATAGCCTTCTCCCCACCTCACTCCAGAGGGACAATGACAGATGCTGCTAGAACAGCCATCACCTCCCTGTGACAGGAGCCAGAGCACACGAAGACATGCAGACTCCTCAGCTCCAGACCTGACATTGCCCTCCAGCGCCTGGTTGAGGTGTGTCAACAGTTCTCAGGCTTTTGTCTCCTCTCCTTTGGATTTCTTCT